CTGCTTCCCAAAATACCCTGGGTTTCAGCTGCCTCGCGCCCACCCAGGAAGAACGTGCCTGCTCTTCTTGAATGGCTTCAGCTCCCTGTGCCCTCAGGATGGTGTAGGTGAAATGGACCATCTCCTGATCCCAGCTGTGAAGATTATGAGGATGATCCAAAGAAACACAGCTGTGTCCCTCTGGCTGGATAAAAACCAGCCTCCAGCCTCAAGAGTACTAAATTATAGCCTTGAACTTGCAGACCTGCATCCTATCCGAGGGATCATGCTAAGTGCTTTACGAGTACTGTTTTTCATTCTTATTGCAAGCCTCTGCTGTTGGACCCATTAGGACTCTCACTTTGCAGAAGAGGCCGCAGACCGAGAGAGTTCCACGTGTCGTCCAGTGTCACAGAGGCTATAAGTGGCAGAGCAAAGATTTGAGCCCAGATCTGGCTCTTTCGAGTTCCTGCGTCCCTGACCTCTGTGGCCTCCAGCTCCTCTGGTGAGGAAGGGAAATCTGAGACATATGTCACACAGACGGTTTAGGTACTCGACTGGTTGGTGGTACCTATAGAGCCAAGGTCATCCATGGTGAAAGTAATCAAGAAAGGCCTCCCTGAAGGAGGAGGGTCTGAAACCCAGAAACTGAATGACATGTCCGATTTGAAATAGAAAGGAGAGTGGAGGTCATTCCAGGCCTTGGTGATTACGGGAAAAGACTCGTTGAACACCGCAAGATCGTAAAGGAATAGATTGGTTTTCTGTTTGGGGTATTTTTATGTATTTATTTGCCGCTTGTTCAGAGAATTACTGCATTTGGAGCTCTTGTGTTATATTTACTGCATTGCCAGAAGCCAGCAAAGACATAAAACTGGTGACTCAAATGCAGAGGATGTCCTTACTGGCTGGCCAGCTCTGGGAGCTGGACCCTGCATTTGCAATCAAGGAGAAGTACACCCCTCCCATGGGAACTTTGACCGTACTCAAGGTCTTCTCTTAGAGGGGAAATAAGGCATGCTAAACAAAGGCACTAATGATCTTCTTTTAACCCTTCACCAAATGAGGTAGTATCTCCCAGGGTGATTCTTATAAAAACAGAATGTCATGGAGTGTGCACAGGACACCAAATTTCACGTTTTCTCTAGAAATAACCCTGGAACAGGTCCCTAGTAAAGACATATCAGAGGCAAGCCTGCCGACTGTGTGAGATCCGCCCCCAGGAGTAAAAATAGAATAATAAACCTGCAATGTGCCAAACCCCTGCAGTGGGAACATGTCTCTTATGATCATCATTTCAATAGTCCTCTGAGCGGTCTTCACTTTAAAGCTGGGGGTACAGATGCTCAGAGAGGTTGAGTGCCCTGGCCTGGTCACAGAGTGAGTCTGTGAAAGAGGTTGGGTTTGATCTTCAGGTTTTCTGATTCTAAAACCCACGCTCTATTTTCTAAGGCCTATCTGCTCTGTAAAGGGCCAATTATCTCTGAAACTACTGGCAAACTCCTTAATCTTTTGAAACTTGGTTTCTTTCCTCAAAGCAGGGGAAACCTGTCCTGCCGTTTGTGTTCATAGAGTCAGAATTGGTGTAAGGAGGAGATATGCAGGCTGTAGCAGCACTAGTAGCTGCTGAGATTTTTTTTTTCAATGTTTATTTATTTTTGAGAGAGAGAAGGAGCAAGTGTGTGAGTCGGAGAGGGACAGAGAGAGGGAGAGAGAGAATCCCAAGCAGGCTCCATGCTGTCAGCAGAGAGCCTGACATAGGACTCGAACCCACAAACCGTGAGGTCATGCCCTGAGCTGAAATCAAGAGTCAGACAGTTAACCCATTGAGTCACCCAGGCGCTCCCTACCCTTCACCCTTTTTTTTTTTTTTTAATGATCTGCTGAGATTTTTCTGGAAGTGACTGTGTGCCAGGCACTCTGCTATAGGTCATATGCAGATCATTTCATTCAACCTCTCATCAACCCATGAGGGACGTATTATCATCCTTGTTCCCATCTTAGAGTTCAGGGAGTTGAAAACAAAAGTTAAGGCTCAGAGAGATCTCATAGGGTCCTCAGCGCCACTAGCCTCCAGGTGGAAAAGTCACGATTTGAACCTGGACAGTAGAGATGGAGCACAAACTGACCATATTCTCCAGCCCTATTGATGGCTAACGAAGGGCAGACAGGTCAGCAGAAAAGGAGTTTGGAGGCGGCAGGCAGGCGTTGAGTGCAGTGATGTAGCCACAGTCCAGACCTCAGCACCTTCTTGAGAGAAGAGCCTGGGGACCCCAGTCCCCTGGAGGGGACCTCTCCTGGCTGTAACTTTCCAGACTGCGGTGTGCCAGGAGGGTGGCATTTGCGGGAGCAGTCTGTCTGTGATGGAGGATAAAAAAACACGGGGCTGCGGAGAAAAGGAGGGCCGTGCCAGCTGACAGCAGTACTTAACAGGGAGCTGCCTCCGCCCTCCTCTGCAGCAGCTCTTGGCAGCTTCCAGCTCAGACTCTAATCCCTGGGAGCCCAGGGGCCAGAAGAGGAGAGGAAACCAGGGAAACAGATCGAGGGAAGCCAGGTCAGCAGGTGGCTCGCACCGCCTGCCGCCGTGGACAGGTGCCCCCGCCTCAAGCCCCCGGAGCCCGGAATTAAGGATGCTTTATTAGGAATGTGATGGGTGACAGGCTAGCAGAGTTCAGCCTTTACCCATTTCTGCAGAGAGCGGCACTCTCCAGGACACAGTCACTAAGTAGCAAGCACGCTAGAGGTTAGCAACTTGGGAACCTGGTCCCGGTGCCCTCGCCGATGATGTTGCGACGAAGGGCAGGTCGCTTTCCCTCGTTGGGTCACAGTTCATTAAGGTCTTTGGTCCGGCGATTATCAGAGCCCACTGTGTGTTCAGCCCCGTGCGAGGTGCTCGGACCTCCAAGGTGAGCCGGATCATATGCGTCCCTGCCTTCAAGGAACTTAACAGTGTAGTAGGTAAGCATCCAGTCATCACATGACTGCAGGTGAAATTCCAAGTATGAAACATGCTAATAAACGGAGAGGGGCTTAACCCTAGGAGAGGTTGGCGAGAGAAACTCACCAAGTCTGGAGGGGCCAGAGAAGAGTTTGCTGCAAAGCTGAAGGATGAAGAGGAAGAAAAGGCTATGAGTCAAGGAGGAGACAAGGGAGAATCTTCCGGGTATGGGAGATACCACGTGCAAGCCCCTGGTAGCCGAGGAAACCACCTCTTCCAGAGGCCTCAGCGCCAAGCCCAGGGGCATGTGCCAAGTGGGGAAGTGGTGTCCAATGGGCCTCGGAGCCCAGCAGGGCCTACACCTCCCCTGAACTTATTTCATCATCTCTAATGCTCCTCGCAGCCGCACTTCTGGATCATTGTCACTGTAGTCCTGAGGCTGACGTTGATCCATTCATGCCAAGGTGGAATACCACAGATTTTTCCAGAAAGTAGAGGAATTATTCAAATAATTCATGAAGTAATCTGCCTGTTTTCATTTAAATTTTCTGCATGTTTGAGTCATGTCTTCTTTTTGCTTGACTGGAGCCTGCCTGGCAGCCATAATAATGATGAGTCCGGAAGATTCTGGAATTGGGCGTGCCCCGGTATCCTCGTAAATGTGTGAGCCCTAAGAACTCAGGCAACCCTAGGGAAAGGTTAGATGTCTGTGGATGTCTTCCAGGCACACTGTCAAGGCCGATCTATCAGGGTCTCGAGCTAATCAGGAGGCTACAAGCCTCCATCCAGTGACCATGTCTCCATCGTCCTAGAGGTCAGTGTTCCCAGGTGGGTTCCTCGTAACTGACATAGAGATCCATGTGCACCGTGAGGTTGCTTCCTCCCTGTCTCCTCCCTCCAGAACAGCTGGATGTGTCCACGGTCATGAGCAAAATGAGGCACCCAGGAGAATTGCATGGGAGAGCACATCCCGAAATGTGCTATTGGACATTCAAACACATCTCACACAGGGTCAGATAAGATTGGGAAACGTAGGGCCGCATGAGGTCATCTCCTCACTGGTGTGTCTTGCAGCTTTCCAGGAAGGGGGGAGAGGGCATCAACTCTAACTGGCCACACCCCTCTCGGCAGGGCTGGTGTCCCCAGAATATAGCTGTGACAAGCACTCATCTAGACTCTAAAGAGACCCCTGCGACCTAAGAGTGAGGGTTTGTCCTTTCTCAGGTGAACTGACTGTGCTCAGAGAGGTCATGACATCAGCCCAAGGTCCCCCAGGCTAAGGGCAAATTGAACACCTTCTAGAACACAGGCTTCTCTTGTTCACTCCAAGGGCTCCCGTGTCTGGTTTCTGTCATGAATCACCAAAGGCAAGGAGGGGGTTGACATCTGATGCGTGCCCTCCCTAGAATCGGGACAATTCTAGAAACTCTGCTAAAACTATGGGACCTACTGTGTGCCTGCACCATGCTAGGTGTTTGGCACACGTACCATCTCGTTGAATCCAAACTGAGACTTAGGTGCAGTCACTTGTTCAATCCCTTGGAGGAAGGAAATTACACAGCCGGGATTTGGACCCAGGTCTGCCTGACTTCCGTGAAACATGCCGCGTGTTGTCCCATTCCGTCCTTGGAGTAGCCTGGCAAGATAAAACAGATCCCCACTTAGCAGTTGAGGAAACTGAGGCTCAGAGTTTGAGCGGCCTCACAAGGTCATGGAACCAGGGTGTGGGACAGCTGGGCACAGGCTCCCCTCTGCCCTGTCCTCAGGACTGAGTCTTCTGCCCGCGGGTCTGAGTTCTTGTCTCTGCATTTACTCAAGGGGCTCAGCATGAGCCAGAGAGAAGCCCAGGCTGGGGATGGGCTTGACCTGATGGCTTGGGTGATAACCTGTGAGCTCTTCACCTTCAACAGTGCTGAGCTCAGCTCCCCATCACTTGAAGACAAAAGTTCAGGGAAATAGTCCCTTGCTTGGCAGGCAAATCACGACACCCACCACGTTGCCTCTGCTTGACCTCTGCTAGTAGGAAGATTATTTGTCTAATTAGGTAAAGAGCCTTCATGCACATGTACATATTTTAACCCTAATGAGCTGCCAGCGGAAAGGCTTGCCCTTGGCTGAGTTCACCAGCTCATCTTTCCTTCTCCTGGCGGAAAAGGCCAGCGCGGTAAACAGAACCCTGTTTCTATGGAAGCTCACTCTCTGGCTTTTTCTTTTGGACACTTGAAAAGGTAATTACTTGATTTCTTTTTATATTTTTGGATTTCATACAGTGGGGCTGTCGAGCTCCTCCATTGCGGATCAGGCTGTTTAAGGGAACTTTGGCTGCATTTCCGTTTTCATCCCCCACCCAGCCCTTGGGATCATTAGCTTTCAGGCTGCAGTGTCTGCCTTCCAGTCACTCCTCCTAATTAACATCTCACAAAGCAACGGGACTTGACCCATGAGAATGTTGGTGACCCTGGGAAGTTGGGGAAATTTGTCAAGAGATGGAAGTCCCTGAACCCTTCCTTTCTCCTGTACAGACTATCAGAGCACATCCTTATAATCCACACCACAGAGGGACACTTTCCCATCTGGTACATTCTTGTCTGAGTCTTTGACGCCCCACTGTGGCCCATGTCAGAAATACAGCCTCCACAGGCTTCTTTAATAACACAAACAGCAGCCACCATTTCCGGAGGATTTGTTCAGGAAACTGTGTGCCAAGCACTGGGCTGAGCACTTTATATCCACTGTCTCAGTGAATCCTTATGGCAAGCTTAGGTGGATTTATTACACTGATTATTCAGATGAAGAGGCCTGAAGCACAAAGAGGTAGAGTCACTTGCTTTGGGTCACACAGCTACTGAGGGGCAGAGCCAGGATAAGGACACACCCATTGCTCTCACTTCTTCAAGAGGGCGCTGGCATGGCTACAGCCTCCCTGGAAGAAATCAGCCAGTCATGACAGGGGAAGGAGGGTAGACATTTCTCTGCCCCCCCCCCCCCCCCCCCCCGGCCCCGTGGTAGCCCAGTGTGTTAAACTGCCCCATGTATGCAAGGAACAAAATGAGGCTGCTAAGTTAGTTAATTGTCAGAGCCAATTAGGAAACCAAACAAGGCACTTAGGAAGGAAACCAACGTAATGCCGAGCAAAAGAGCTTCAGTTTGGGGCAAGACGGACTCTGCTTCTAATGGGTCATACCCCCTTTACCAATCGTGTGAACTTCAGCAAGGTCCTGAACCTTACTGAGATTCATCTGTAACCTGGGGGTAATAATGGTACCCACCTCATAAAGTTGTTTTACAAACGGCAGTCTGGAATATTTTTCAGTGAAATAATTGAGTGAAAGACAAAATTGCATGCAGTTCAACAGGTGTTATTTATTCTAGAATTGCTCACGTTCTTGTATTTTTATTTTGAGAGAGAATGACTGGGAGAGGGGCAGAGAGAGAATCCCAAGCACGGTCAGTGCAGAGCCCTACACGGGGATGGAACTCATGAATAGTGAGATCACTACCTGAGCCAAACTGAAGAGTTGGATGCTTACCCAACTGAGCCGCTCAGGTACCTCTAGAATTGCTCAGAGGCTTAATCGTGTATTATATGATTCAAAGTCAGCACTTCCTGACCCCACACTCCTTTTCCTAGAAGAATGCACATTAGTATCTATTTTTTGAGACCCTTTAGAAAAGACTGAAATATACATCATAGAATACCTCGGCTTGACTTAGGCATCAGTAAATGCTAGTCTCCTCTCTCTTTTGTGACCAAAATGTTCAAATAACCTTATCTGTCCTTGCTAGATTTAAGCTCCGTGGAGACACCCAATTATGTCTGCCTTGTTCCTTTCTGTATTCCAATGTTGCCATAGCAAGACGTTCCATCAAAGTCTGATAAATGCATGAGTAAGTGGGAGAACCCATGAATTAATGAATGAAGCATAGAGTAGACCTAGCCTGCTGTCCACTAGACCTTCCCTGCTGTCTCTAGTTAACATTTGATGAGGCCAGATGCCTCTGTCTGCAAAATTTAGTGATAGGAATGGTTCTATTGGACTGTGTTTTCTCTTTTTCATTTTTAACTTCTGTGAACACTGTATCTTCTGACAGAATCCCCAACTTTGTGTCCTAACCAAATCATTTTGCTACTTCTCAGTGAAGAAGTCAGATGTTTCATTTGCCTCTGTATTTTGAACAAGACATTTCTGAGCATTCCCAGTGGGTTGGCACCTGGAGCTGCACAAGTGTTGGGTTTCCAAGGGAATAGAATAAAAGCAGCTCCTTGAAGCTTAAAAGCAACGTGGAGGAGATTCTGTTTCCCATGAGCACCTGGTGGAAAGCTGTAATGGGTGGACCCTTGGACAGCACTGTAGTTGCTTTCGGGTGGTTCTCTTCATATGTATGTGGGACAGGATTTCCAGTTCACTCTCTGGGTATTGTACTACGCAAAAAACAAACATTTCAGTGTAAATTTGAAACTATTTAAGTTGGTCAAAGTCTAGCAGATTTCCCTACTGCATAACTTCTCAGAGATTTTGCACACTTTGACATAGCATTTCCCAAACTCAAATGACCCTTCTTCCGCAGTCCTTCGGGAACCCTTTCTTCTGGAATATTTAGTAAGATTGTTGTTGAGCAGAACACTTTTAGAATAGATGGCCAAAAGTTGTGATTCAGTCTTTATGATCTGGGACATAGTCCTGCTCCTCAAAATTGTGGAAAGAAGGCAAGGCAACTGCTGAATTGAACAAGGTGATAAAAATGGACAGCATAAAACTAGATGGATTTTTATGTGTTTTATAAAACAACCAAAAAAGACTATGCACAATGCTTAAAAAGTATGACCATAATTTTTTTGGTGTTCTTGTTTACATCATATTAAAAATAACTTATTTTCTATGCCATTTTGTACCATAGATGAGATTCTTTTTTTTAAAGCATAGATCTGGGTTTTTATTTTTAAAATGTCTAAATAACAATGGCTTTTAAAGGAAAGGGACTTAGGGGCAACTGGGTGGCTCAGTCAGTTAAGCATCTGACTTCAGCTCAGGTCACGATCTCACAGTTCATGAGTTCAAGCCCAGCATCAGGCTCTGTGCTGACAGTCCAGAGCCTAGAGGCTGCTTCAGATTCTGTGTCTCCCCATCGCTCTGCCCCTCCCTGTATGTGCTCTGTCCCTTTCTCTCTCTCTCTCTCTCTCAAAAATAAACAAACATTGAAAAAATGTTTTTAAATAAAGAAAAGGGACTTATAAATTTCAGATACCTTTTAAGCCACTTCTTGTTGTGTTAATATGTACTATAAAGAGGAATACAGCCCATCCTAATTGAATGCCCACTGTTCACTCTTTATTAAACTTTTCTGTGAATAAAATTAATCATAAATTACTGGACAAAATAGACTCAATTACAGTTTGAAGGATAATTGTAGGTTCACTTGGAAATAGAAGCTTAATGTTTTGTTATCCATGCCCCCAACCATCTCCCCTCTGATAACCATCACTTTGTTCTCTACAGTTAAGGGTCTGTTTCCTGGTTTGCCTCTCTCTTTTTACTTTTTTCCCTGCTCATTTGTTTTGTTTCTTAAATTCCACATATGACTGAAATCACATGGTATTTGTCTTTCTCTAACCGACCTATTTTGGTTAGCATACTACATCTCCATTTCTACCTAGTTGCTAATGGCAAGGTTTCCTTTTTTATGGCTGAGTAATATTCCTCTGTGTGTGTGTGTATGTGTGTGTGTGTGTGTGCACGCACGCACGTGTATATCAATGAAAGAAGATGTTTCTTGAATGACAGAAACGTAATTCATAAAACAAAGATCAGCAACTATGGCCCACTACCTGTGGATGCACATAAAGTTTTATTGGAACACAGGAATGCCCATTCATTTATGTATTGGCTATGTCTGTTTGCACATTTGATTGGAAAGAACTGAGTCATTGCAACAGAGATCTGATGACTCTCAAAGCCTAAAGTATTAACTATACAGCCCTTTACAGAAATGTTTGCCAACCTCTTTCATAGATTCATAGAAAGATGTGATAAGGATGGTGATTAGGGAACCAACCCCTTCATCCTAAAGGTGGGAAAACCAGAGAAGTAAGGGAGTTGTCCAAGTTTATTTCTGCTTAGTTATGCTGAACCTTATGTCCTAAGAGCTCTAACTCCAGGAAAGACTAGCATAGATTTCAATTTGGACATCAATCCCAACTCAGTGGTAGTGGCCATCTGCAGTACTGGCTAAGATAGTCTCAGGGCTCAAAAGAGGGGACGCAATGATGGATTAATCTCCCGTGGTCTGGGCTGGGGTAGGATGTGGGACGTTTGCTATGGAGGCACTATGGACAAACACTTTGTCAGCTCCCCCCATTTCTAATAGTTACTTTACTGTATCCTTTGTATGTCTGTCGTGTAAACACTTTCTTCATTGGACCAAAACAGAGGTGCTCTATCAGTGCTGTATCTGCTGCCCAGCAGTTCAAAAGTGATTCTCGTGCAAACTCATTCACGTGTCTTTCCTGGTAATTGTCTCCCACCTGATGCTCTGCCTGCAAGGGTTTAAGATTTCACTCCAATTGGATGTGTCTGGTACAAGATTCTTAACTGATCGTGAAATGTGTCTATGGGGGCAGAGATCGGGGCGTGTAAAATGCACAGTCATAAGTGTGTTGGCTTTTGTGATCTACAACTGAAAGTCTCCATGTTTGTGCTTCTGTGCAGCTGGACAATCCAGACGAGCAAGCAGCCCAGATCAGACGAGAGCTGGATGGACGTCTCCAAATGGCAGACCAAATAGCCAGGGTAAAGACGCTGGGGGGACATTTGCTGGGGGACCAGGCCAAAGTCCCCAAATCGGGACAGGAGGCACACTGATTATTAAGATCCATGGAAAGATGAAAGTGAGAAACAGAGAGGCAGGAAGAGGAGGTCAATCACTTGATTGAACCCTCCTCCCTCCTTTGTCAGGGCAACTCTCCCAGATGGCACATGATTTCTATGCTCCAGTCAGTATTCAGGCCCCAACCTCCCCTTTCTCCTGAGGCCCTGCCTTGTTTCCAAATGTCCATTGAGAACATTTCCTCATGGAATCCCCCTGCATTCCAAGTTAAGTGTGTTCAAAATCATGTTCCTTTTCTTCTTCTTCTGCTCCTTGTTTACGCATACCTACAATGGCTCCTCTCCACGTGTTCTCTGTCAGTTACTATAGATGGGACCTCCTAGGTGTTCTCAGTTCCTCCTTCCTCCCCATGACACCCCACACTTAGCTGCCCAGCTCATTGAGTCTGCCTCCAGAATGTGGGTCAGATCTCTCGACTGCTTTTCGGCACCTCAGCTGGTGCTTTGATTCAGGCCCTTATCCTCAATGCCCAGATCTCATGATAGTCTCCTAGTGGGCATCCCTGGCTCTGCTCCTGACCTCTCCAGTCTCTTCTCCACACCGTTGCCATTCTCAACCTCATGCATGAACGTCTCACAAACAGACCATTGAAATCCTTCGGTAGAATCCTCTACTGAATCCCAGAACAAAGTATAACCTCTTCAGAATGATATTCCAGGCTCTTAATCCACAGACTATATCCTTTCTTGTTAGGCTCACTTCCCACACCTTTCCCACCAGAACCCCCCATTTTAGCTACAGCGACTGTCTCCCTCTGAGTAGTCCAGCAGGCCCTTTCTTGCCTCAGTGACTTTGTACCCACCAGACAAAGTCTTTTTTTTTTTTTTTACATTTCTGAGTCTCCCAGCAGACCGGATTTCTCTAGACTTGGGATTATGTCTTACTGTTGATGACTGTGAACCTGAATGTTATCTACTATGATTGCCGTTGCTGTCATTTGTGTTATTATTGGCAGTAGTAGTGCTAGTAGTATTCATTGAGCGCTGACTCTGTTTCAAACATACTCAATGCTTTACCTGTACATCTCATTTAATCCTTAAAACCGCCCTATAAGTATATTTCAGTTATCATTTTTGTTCTAAAGGTGGGGAAATCAAGACTGAGCATGGTAGATACAAGTTAAGGCACTACACTGGAGCCTTAATTCAAGTCTGTATAAATCTGAGAGCTGGGACAAGGATGAGGCACTCACATAAGGTAAAAAGTTTAAAAGCAGGGGCCACAAATGCAGCAAGCAAGATGAATACCATTTTAGTGAAATATTTTTAAAGCATAATTAATGCAAAAATCCATGAAGAACAAAATATCAAAATTTTAAATAATAGGATCCTACTTATTCCTGTGGTAACCACAGGACATGTGTGTCTCTGAGGGTAGGGCGCTGTGGGAGATGGTTGTGAGGCTGGGTAATTGGTAGAGCCTGGCATTCATCCTTTCTCACTATGGAAAGAAGTGTGTCAGGGCTTGGACACATGGAAAGGACTTCTACTGGAAGGGAAACCAAAAGGAGATTCCACAAAGCTCAAAAATCCCTGTTTGTGCTTAAGCAGGTATATGAAATATGTGGCATCTTGTTTTTCAACATCTTCAACGTTTATAGTAGAGTCAGTCTGTCAGCTAAAAATGCTATGCAGTTATGGATTTGCCGAAAGGTAGCATAAAAGGCTCTTATGTTCGAAAACTCTGCTTAATGAGAGAGAAAACATCAATAAGGCTTCAGAATTTACTTCTGTAAACTCAGTGTCTCCTCAGCAGATTATCCTGAGTATAGAAGTCATTTGGTCCATTTTTTGCCTATGGCATACCAAGCCATTAAGTGTTCATTTCATTTGAAGAAAATCAGACACACAGACACACACACAGAGAGACACACACACACACAGAGCACACACACTTCAAAAACTAGTCCATGGCACCTTTATTTTAGTTGTTTACTTTGAGGCTTCATGTGATAATTTAAGAAACTAGTGTAGGGTAATTTCAATATTTAAAAGACCATGAATGAACAACTGTTATGTAGTGAGCCAGATTGCTCATCTCTGAACAATAGTACGTCCAAGAATTCTCTCCCCCAGCCCATACTACTAGATATTCTTATACCAAGTAGCATATTATTGACAACTTAGAACTAGACTTTCTTAGACAAGGAAATAGGCAATTAAAGTAAATCTGTCTTGGTCATTATTTATAGAGAATGGAGAATAATTTCAAAGTATATGGAGTATCCCCCAAACATTTATGGTATTGAGGATTTCTATCACTGAGTCTGCCCACCTCCGTCTCCTGCTCCCGTAGAAATGGACTATCTTCTTCTTCATCGTTTATTCATGCCAGTGATCTCCAGTCCTTGAAATGCATTCTTAACCCACATGGAACCAATCACAGTTCCCAGCCTGCCATGGCCACAAGTGATTGGTCCAGAAATGGATCCCTAAATGCAGCTAAACCAATCAATTACTTCCCTGGGACCTGTGGACTGTGGGCCAATAGGGCTTTGTCTTCTCATGCTAGAAACCTGCCTACGGCCATGTTCAATTCTTCCGTGTAGGGAAAAGATGAAAGAATGAAGTCAACATGCAAAAAGAGACAGAGACAGGAAATATACTGAAACTGTCAGGATGTTCAAGTCCCTGGTTACACTTATTCTTGAGTCTCCACTGTGTAACTGCTTTTCCCTTGGTTTAGTTGGGTTCTGAGAAATGTAGATTCTTTTTGTGCCTAACACAGGCTGGCTAATACTGAGGAAAAATTGAACAACATCTGCTAAAAATTAAACAAAATATCAAAAGCTTAGATATTGACTAGTTCATGAAGGGATATTCAAACAAAGCACCCCTGCTTACCTTCTTTTAGCATACCCTGATTTCTCTATTTCTGGCATTGCAGTGGATTTTAGTGTGAGTGTGCAATTCAACCCATATGGTTGAACATCATCTCCTGTAAATATCATAACCAGAAATTCCTGGATAGGGGACAGGCAAGATGGTGGCGTAGGAAGATCCTGAGCTCACCTCCTCCTACAGACACAACAAATCTACAACTGCATGTGGAACTGTCCCCTCTGAAGGGAGCCTGGAAACTGCATGAGCAGAGCCTTCACAAGGCATTAACACAGGTACAGGTGGCAGAGATGCAGTCTCACGAAGGAAGAAACCACTCCCTGGGTGCAGCATTCCACTCCAATGAGAAGGATCTCAGCACTATAGAAAGTATCGCTGAGGAGCAAGAGATTTGAGTTCCACATCAGGAACCCTAATGCTTAGATCCACCCCCAGAACACCGGGCTTTGAAGCCCAACAGGAAATTCATTCAGGAAAGCCACAGAACTGTAGAGAAGGTGAAACTGCTCTTAAAGTGTTTGCATGCAGACTCACTCAACCCAGAAACCAGTGGAAAAACATGAGATTGAAAAGCACATAGACCACAGGTGAAGGAGACCCACTTATTCGTCTTGGGTCATCTAAGACAGTGAGACAGGAGACATCTAAGCCTCTCCCTGGGGACTGAGACACTGGCTGCAGCCAAGTTTCCTCTTTCATCCTGCTTTGCCAATCCTGGTTCTGGTAGGCATCACTTTGGAATCCTCCCTCTAGACTGCTATGAGAGGGGACCTGTCCCACTGAGAGCCCTGTACAGCCCTACCCCTCAGCAGGACTTCACAGCCAAAAGGACAATAATCCCACCCACCAGCACAACTGCAGCACTCGTGCCAGGCTTTACAGACAGCTAGGCCGAGGGCCAGCCCTGCACAACAGTGAGTTGTCACCCAGCCACAACAGAAGAGTGTAGACGGTGCATACTAGAGACACCCCCAGGGCACCTAGCTCAGGTGACTAGGGAAGTTTGCATTGGGCCCTATATGATACATTCTGCATAAGCCCACTCTTTCAAGATGGGGAAACATACCTGATCTAAGAGATAGAAATAAACAGAGAATTGAGCATAATGAGGAGATAGAAGAATATGATCCAAATGAAAGAATAAGACAAAATTTCAGAAAAAGAACTAAATTAAGTGGACATAAGCAATCCACCAGATAAAGAGTTCAAAGTAATAGTCATACAGATGCTCCCCTTAGGAGAAGAATGGATGATTGCACACTGTCAGAACTTCAAAAAAGAGAGAATATACCAAAAAAGAATTAATTAGAGCTGAAGAATGCAATACTTGAAATGAAAAATATACCAAAGGGACTCAGTCACAGATTAGATGATGCAGAGGGATGGATTAATGGCCTGGATGATAGGGTAGTGCAAATCACTCAATAAGAATGGGAAAAAGAAAAAGGAATTTGAAATACAAGAATAGTTTAAGGGACCTCCAAGACAACACAAAGTATACTAACATTCATATTATGGGATCTTAGAAGGAAAAGAGAAAGAAACAGACATAAAACCTATTTGAAGAAATCATGGCTGAAAACTTCCCTATCTGACAAAGGAAACAGGCATCCAGGTCCAGAAATCACAGGGAGTCCCAAAGGGGATGAACCCAAAGAGACACATTTCAAGACACTTTGTAATCAAAGTGTAAACAATTAAAGAGAGAATCTTAAAATCATCAATGGGAAAACAACTAGTTACATACAAGGGAAACCCCATAAGACCATGGCTGATTTTTCAGCAGAAATTGTACAGACCAAAAGGGAACAGCACAATATATTCAAAGTGCTGAAAGGAAAAAAATTTATAATCAAGAATACTCTATCCAGTATGATTATTACTCAGTATTGAAGAAGAAATAAGGAGTTTCCCAGACAAGAAAAAGCTAAAGGTGTTTGTTAAACACCAAACCAGCCTTAGAAGAAGTGTTAAAGGGATTTCTTTAAATGGAAAAGAAAATTCATAAATAGAAGTAAGAAAATTATGAAAGAAAAAATTTCACTGGTAAAAGTAAACATATA